AACATCATTTCCTCTCCTTGAATGCAGTATCCCAAAAGCTTCACAAGATTCCGATGCTGAAGCTTGGCAATGCATACAACTTCATTCTGGAATTCATCAAGTCCCTGCTTTGATGTCTTTGAAAGCCGCTTCACAGCTATTTCTCCTCCTTCATCAAGCACGCCCTGGAGATTGTTTTTAATTCATCATTGCTGATTGTTCTTTTGATATGGAATTGTGTCTAGAGTTTTTACCTTGTAAACTGCACCGAAACCTCCTTGTCCTAGCTTATTGTGGATTGAAAAGTTACTGGTGGCCTTAATTATCTTACTCAAGCTGAACAAAGGTAGATCAGAATCTTGCTTCTTGTTCTTGTTTGCTAAAAGATTATATGAAACATGAATGAATGGTTCAACTTCCCTAAATATATACAAAGTGAAATTGCAAGGATAATCAAGTAGTTTTGTAAGTTGCCCTCACCCCTAACATGTGATTTCTTCTTCCTTCTCCAAGCATATACATATATTATGAGAGCAAAGCCAAGCAGAACCACTGCAAATACTATTGACATGGTCACTTTAAGATTCGTGTTCGACTTCTTCTTCTTGCTGCTTTTTGCCCACACAAAATGTTAGTGGTGGTAGTCTTAGTTAGTAACAGGAATGAGCTTACAAAAACATGACTAGGAATAAAATCAAGCATTTAAGTGGACCCCAGTTCTATTTCCAGCCGTGGAAATTAGTTGTATTGTTAGAAAAAGTATAAGGTACTGGGTTTATTCATGTAAGTTTAGATAGCATCAAAAGGTTTGAGCAAGCAGGAGAAGGACACTTACGAATTAAGTTGTTGGTGTTGGACATTTTTATGTAGATACTTGCCCTGAAACATCTCCTTCCGGAGCGTCTCTGATGTCAAACAGCTCACCTGACCACTGTAAACATCCACTTCCGCTCCCTCTAACATCAATGTTTGCATAAGCTGTACAATACCCGTTGCAGGCACAAAGATTCCCACATTCCTCAAGGGAAATGGTAGTATCAAACCATGAATACCTTGAGTCGGGCAATTTCAGGTTTGTAAATTTCCTGAAGTTTTCCCCATTTTCATCAGTCGCAGATATTCTACGCTTACACCCATTCGACCAGTCTGCTAAGGACCATTCCATTGGCAGCTTTGGTTCAAATCCTTGTAAACACACACATGCTGGCACATTATTGATGTTACAGCTTCCATAAGAACCACATATAGCGTACCTGTCACAAGCATCCACGAAAAGCTCCATATATACCCTCCATTTTTCATCTGTCTTGTCCCAAACAAACTGCAAAATGTTGCCTTGTTGATCCAATCTTACCCTCGTAAGATATGAACTGTCTAACAGTGTGAAGTTGTAGTAATTCTCCTCATCAGTCGAAACAAAGTCAAACGCATAGAAGATGTTGCGTTCCAAACCATGCAACCCAGTAAACCCCAGCCCATTCCAATATCCAACCCTCTGCGGTTACATGTTTGATCCATCTTCAGCAATATTCAATTGCGGATATCCAATGTTGTCCATCCAAACTGAATAAGAACCTGATGAAGGGTCATCAGAAGTCTTCCATGATGTCAGCCTCCTTTTTGTGCCCATTACACGGTCCACACCGATTTTCATTCCTGGTAGCCAAGTGTCTCCAGGATGATCAAAGCTTTGCCAAATCATGTCACCACTGATATCATCTCTGATGACTAGATTTCCAGAATCCAATAGCTGTGCAACTGGATTCTTACTTGTTGTTTTGGAGGATTGGGATAACCAAATTGAGGTATTGCTAATATTGAGAAGCTGTAAAGTTCCATGGTCATTGATTTTGAGTACACCCGTGCGGTCAACAAGTGGAACCTCTCTATTAGCAACCCATACGATGTTACTGTCTGGCACATGCTTATACCGTATCCCTAGGTACCGAGAAGTTGAATTCCCGAGGCCAAAGAATGCCAGTTCAAATATTTCAGCTTCTGAAACAAGGGTGTCACCATCCTTGAGAGGCTGATTTGGAAACATGGTGTCTGTTGCACTACTAGTTTTCAGTACAACACAGCAGTAGAACCAAATCATGGCAAGAAGCTCCATACGATTTGATCTCACCTCTACAGTTGACATTTACTCTTATGAGTCTTATGCTCTTTAATCTCCTCCTTTCATGTATTAAAGACTTAGTCGATGTGGGCATAGCATTTCCCAACCCATGCAATACCACATAATAAAATTTAGATCTAGAAGACTTGGTCAGTTTTTCTAGTTGCCATGGTGGACTTTTTTTTTAATGGTTATGGTTGCTTGATTTGTCTCATCTCTTATGTCTATAGAATTTTGCACAAAATAACTTAGATTTGGATTTCTTTGTTTAGTTTTACACCAATTGTAGTTCTTTTTAGAGAACCCCAAAAATATTCACGTCTATGCAATTTTTTTCGGTTCTTTTAGATGTAGAAAAAGTTTCAAGTTTTTCAATGGGAAATCTCCCGAAAAGTCTTAAAATTTTAGTCCAATTTATGAAAAAATCCTAAACTAAATTTTATTTACAGAAAAACACAGAATACCGGTTAAAACTTCGAAAAAAACTCTTTTCGGCCGGTTTCGCAGATTTTGCCGTTATTCTGTCCTTTTTCGTTAGTTTGCTCAAAATTTTGGGACTTTTCCAAAAATTACATAATAACCAAAATATTTAGATTTTTTTGAAAATTACCACGAAATTAATGGATATTAATATTAACAAATCATTTATAAACATAAAAAATATTTTTATTATAAAAAAGGAAATACATTTATTGTTAATTTCTAGGAATAAATTAGTGATCTAAGTACTCTATTACTTCCTGACCACTCAAACTCTCTACGTTCTTCTTATGCATTGTTATGGGTATGATGGTGAGATGAACTTATTTAGCATTCCTCTAATGTTGGTGTTTCTCTTATGTTGTTTAACCTAACTACCAACCAACATTCATACCTTACATGTTAACAACCATCGGCTAACACACATCTATAAAATGTGAAAAATAAACCGTGAGTGATAATTTATATGGAAACAAGTGAAGGATTATTATCTATTTAAATTGTCATTCAAAGTTTACTTTTTACTCTCGATAGATGTGTGTAATTTTATGATTGTTACCGGATAATGTTTGGAGGTTAGATGGTAGTTAGGTTAAAGAACATAATGAAAGATCTATATGTTCGTTTAATGATATTTTCTAATTACACATGATCATATAACATCATGCCTAATAGCAAGTAGACACTTATTGATTGTGTATTAATAAATATTATCAACTCTTATATTGGTCACACCTAACAGAGTACTTCTCACTATGACACCCACAACGATACATAGGAAGAACATAGAGACTTTGAAGTGGTCAACAAACAATAGAGAAGTACATAGTCGACCATTCTATTCCTAGAAATTAGCAACAAATGTATTTCCTGTGTTTATAATAATAAAAAAATTATGTTTATAAATGATTTGTTAATAATAATATCCATTAATTTCATAGTAATTTTCAAAAAAGTCCCAATATTTTGGTTATCGGGTAATATTCAGAAAAAGTCATAATATTTTGAACAAACTAACGAAAAAGGACAGAATACCGGCTAAATCTACGAAACCAGCCAAAAAGGGTTTTTTTCGAAGTTTTAGCCGGTATTCTGTGCTTTTCTATAAACAAAATTTAGTTCGGGACTTTTTCATAAATTAGACTAAAATTTTAGGACTTTTGTGGAAATTTCTCTTTGGAAAGCAAAGGAAAAGAAAAGGAAGATGGAAAAATTATATGCTTTCGAGTTGGAAGTAATGAAAAATAAACTAAAGCAAAAGTTCTCAAGTAGTTGGAATGAATAAGAAATGGAAAGGAAAATAACACTTCTACATATCAATCATTTTTTTACATAACAATCATTTCCCCCCTAATCAACTCCAAATTTGACGGATGGTTTTAAAAAATAAAATTGCTAAAGTTGTCCCTCCTAATTTATTCCTTTCCTTCTCTAAAAGAAACTCGAGAGCATGTTATCCTTCATAATCAAAGCATCACCTTAAAAAAACTAAAAAACAAGGTGATAAGTAATAACAAAGATGATGCTTCCCCAATATATATATATATATATATATATATATATATATATATATATATATATATATATATATATATATATATATATATATAATACGTGTAAGTTTTAAAGTTTAAATCCGCAAATTACTAAGTTTTCTATAAATTTGCAAATATCTTGAGGCTTTTTATTTTGGTCATATCTTTTAAAAGCATTTGTAAGGGAGGACAGAATGGTACTGGTTTTGTTGAACGGCTTTGATCAGGAAGGAGAAGAGGGAGCCCCGTGAGGAGAGCAAGAGAGAAAGAGAGGGGTGTTGAGCAGGTTCAAGAAACCGTTGGAGGGTTGAATCAAAGAAGGAAAATGGGGAAGATGGGTTGGGAGGGATGTGGTTTAGGCGGGTTTGACTCTCTCCACAAAAGGTTTGGTCGGTTCACCTGCTTCAGCGTGAAGGACGAGGTCACGGGGACAATTATGTCCTCCCTAATAGTTTACTAGATAAGTTGAATAAGGTGAAATGGCTAGTTGCTATTCAATAAATTAAACCCAATCATAATGGGATTAAGTTCAATGCTATTAAAATTTTTAATAAAAAAAACTAATAAACATTTCAGTATATTTATATGGAGTTGAATTCATTGTAGGAAAAAATATTGTAGGAAAAGTAAAATAACAATGTGAAAATCCAAACAGATTATTGTTGTAATAAAAAAATAAGTTGAAAAAAAATATTTCTCTTTGATTAGACTTAGTTGTACATATTTAAATTATTGTATTATTTCATTATATCTTCTTTCTTAATAAAAGAAACCTTCATCTACGTGTCACTCCTATCATTGCAGAATTCGGTCATTATGATTTTACCGTGATGTCCTTCCTTTGCAATACAAAATTTCCTGCGCTTTTAAATTTCTGCCCTTTTAAATGATACAAAAATAGATATACATAAATTTGGTATGAATTGGTATGAATCCCTCTTTATTTGGAATCATCATTTCAATCCAAAATTAACCGACTAACTCCAAGATTTAAGGAATTAACTCAGAATTAATTGTGAATAAAATATTGGTTTATACGCTTTATTAGTTTTGCCGATTATTTTTTCAAATTTGAAATTAGCCTCATATTTAATAATTCAATATTCCATATTTATGGAAACTGATATCATCCTAAATCATTTCTAAAATACATACCATAATTTCGTGTATATATACACCAATTCTGTAATTCCGGTGACTTCTTCATCACTGAGAAACAATATCACTTTGCTTCAAAGTAAATTCCTGTCGAATATCAGGTTAGTATTTTATATTCATCATCTTATACAATGAAAATGGCCATATCATTCATATAATCTATGTGAATTTGAAATATATTATGTATCTTTAATCTGTAATGTTATCTCTGCATCATCATTAATCGATCTGTGTTAACTGTAAACAATTGGAAAGGCAGAAAATTCATACATTTTTTTATTTCTAACTGATAGTTGTATTGCATATAATTTTTTTATATAATTATGTATCACTCTATCTCTGCATCATCATTAATCGATATGTGTTAATTCTAAATACCAATGTATGTAATATAAAATGCTAAGTTGTAATCGGAAAGGCGGAAAATTCATACATTTTTTTTATTTCTAACTGATAGTTGTATTGCATGTAATATCTTTTATATAATTATGTATCATTCTATGTGTGCAGTTGAATGTTGTCTTATCGAATGTTGGTCTGTATCTCAAAGATCCTGTTTTTTTATATTGACAGTTGTATGTTGCCTTATCTAGAGTTCAAAGTAGAGAATGATTGAAATTGTTAATTTTTTATAAGGATGGTAGACTTACAAATAAAATTTCCAATGTTATAAATGATTCGTAGTTTTTAAAGCCAAACTATTGTGTTTTTTTTTTTGTTTTTTTTATTACATTTCTGTTATATTTTATTTTTTATATATCAATGTCATTTATATTATTCATTGTGTTTCTCTTTAAACTCTACTGGAATTTATATTCTGTTTTATAAATCATTTACAATATACTCATATATATATATATATATATATATATATATATATATATATATTAATTTTAAATAATCAACACAAAAAGTTTTAAACAAACTTAACTCTTATTAATAATATAAATGTTTTATAAATTTTTTACCCGTGATTCCCACGGGTTGTAACCTAATATTACTATACGATAGGACTTGTAGCTTAAGGTTATTAGATATTGATAGAAATGTGTTTATCAACTAAAAATTGAAAGTTCAAGTCTCATTCAAGATCAAAAAATTGTTTAGAAAATAGTGTTAGGAATATATATGTTTGTTGTTAAAAAAAAGTATGTTTGCTATTCATCTTGGGCCAATTTATTTCCTTCTCGTGTTGTTTGGGCAGGGGAAAAGAATCAGCGGGCAAATCAAACCAAAGTCATGTATACTGCTATGGGTGATAATTTTTGACACTACACGGAAACGATACGAGCTCGACATGCAAATAAATGGGTTTGAGTTAAAGATTTCAACGCGTTTAATTAATGTGTTCACATGATACAATATGAAAATTAATCCGGTAACGTTAGGGTCTAAACTTTCAACACGAAAATGACTAGTTTATTTATATGCAACTTCTCTTAATCTTTTAGGTTAACCGGAGATGCTCAAAACCAAAACCAAATGTAAAAGAAACTCTAGGTTGAATCATTTTATAATGTAGAAAACACTAATTAGCCCTCCTAGTCAACACTTATTTTCATTTTTTACTTTTCTTAATCGCTAATTTCTCTTTCAATATGATTTAATTCCTTTAAACTTATTTTGATTGATTTTCTTTCCCTACTCTTTCAATTTATTTAATACTTCAACTCTTCATCATTACGTAATTACGAGTTCTAAACTCTAAACTCGTTGCAACACGAAAATAAAACAAGTCAACACCAGACTATATCAGGTTCAAGCATTCTCAACCCGTTTCAACCAATGACACTCACGTTTGCCACCCTATATCCTGTATCCGTTCTCCTTGACCCGATCTTGATATTGATT